TATTTATTTGTTTAAACTGCCTCAAATATAAGATACTTATTTGCTGAAAGAAGGGGCCAAATAATAATAATAGGTATGGTCATATTTGTTATTGAGGAAAATTCGGATTATTTTTAAGATCCTTACTTATTTAAAATTCCTTAATTACTAAGAGATGACCCTGTGCCCCTCTAAATTCTACCCATAATTACTTTGGAAAGCCAACCAAATTTTTATAAAATAAGTTAGCTGAAGTTTTCAGCAACATGACATGTACTGAGTAGATACCAGCAATGTGTAAACTACTGTCTTGAAGATTCAGGCCATGGACTTTTTCCTCTCCCTTACAGAACATGTTTGTGAATGTAATCCATCTGGTATTTCTAGGAATTAACCCAGGCTTTCCACTGAATTCCCTGTTCTTCTTGGGCAAACTCTGTTGTCCCTCTCACATCTGGTGGTTGATTCGTGCCAAACATGGGTAGAGGCACAGGTGTGCTGCATCTCAAAACCCTTTGTGGGAGGTACGGTTGCTATCACTTCCATTTTACACGTGAGGGAACTGGGTCACAGAACTTAAATTTAATTTGCTAGAAATCACAGTTACTAAACACTCAAAATCAGATTTATGCTTAGGCACTCTCACTCCATATATAAAATGTTACCTAAAAAGTAGATTATTTTAATTTTTCTTTGGCTTTGGTTTTCTGTTCCAGTTCAGATTCCGCTTGTGTAAGTGGTAGTGCTGTTGTATTTAAAATCTGTTCTTGTGCAGCAGAGCAGTAAGCTTATCATTTCACTCAAATGTGTCAATTAAAATCCTTCCCTGATTCAGTAGTGTGTGAATGACAGAACCCAAAGGTAATGGCAGTAGAAATATTTAATATTACTGTATTTAAGCCCAGGTATATATAACTTATGCACAATTTAATTTTGAGTCTTCTATTCAAAATGACTGTAACGGGAATATATTTTATACACTAAAAATTTTAAGCTCCTGAAGCAAAGTCTCTAATTTTTAAAAATAATATTTCTCAGAAAAGGTAATGTATTTTGTGTATCATTGTATAATTACAAAATTCTTTTACATATTTCATGTCATGCAATCCTTATAACATTGTGTTATTATTTCCATCCTATAGATTAGAAAGCTAAAAGCCAAGATACAGGAATTTACTTCCTTAAAATTACACAGTGAGATAGGGCAGAGCCAGTGTTCAAACCTACATTTGGCCTAAAATAAGGTAGTATATGTAAATGTTCGAACCACACAGGGATACAAAATGAAATAAGAAGGTACTGTTACAATATGATTTCAGAAAGTACAAGCAAGTGGTATGCTACATACTCATGCTAGGAGGAAAAGTTCAGATATGGTGCCCAAGAATCACTTGGCTACTTTATATGCCTAACCCAGGGTAGAAAATGACCGCTTCTGTAGTCAGTTATTTTTGTGGCACAAGTATTTTAGGGAAGAAGAGTGGAAGGCTGTCATTACTCAGTTTCAAAGAGAAAGGAGAAACCATATTC